TGCAAAACATATTTATACGTCTGATTTTATTTTTCTCACAGGTTAATTTTCATGAACAAACATGAATGTCCTCTTAAGAATTTTTTTGTTTGTTTGAGTTAGGCCTTATTGTTCAATTACAAGATCTCTTCCTGTCATTTGGAGTGGATAAAAAAAAGGAGGAAATATCTGTGTTCTTTCTCAAAAATCCTGTAAACAATACAAAACGTGATCGGGGAAAGTAATCGATCAGGTGCCTAGTAGGAGTAAGCACCCCTCCCCCAATATTCTAAAGTATAGTGTACTATTGATAATAGATTATACTATAGTGATAACTTTAACACAATAGAGATACAGTTAACTATAGTGATAACTTTGATACTTTGATTTACTGTGTAGTTATTACTTTGTAAACTTGATTTACTATAGTGAAACTTTGATAATTTGAATTATTAGTATGTAGTTATCACTTTGATGTACTTGATATCGTTATAATATTATCTTACAAATTATTTTTCTTCAATAATTATGTAAACTACACTTTACCAGAGTCACCAGACAGACCGGACGTATTAATTCATAGAGGTCCGGATTATTTCAGATCAATTTGTTTTCTATTTTCGAATAAAACATGTAAAATTGTAAATATTTAGGGTTGAATTTTTACATGTAGTGCAAATTATTTTTGTTTCTCTATTTCCTTTGATTTTATGTTTTTTAAAAATCTTTTCAGTCTTTTCCTTGTCCTGAGAAAGGGACAGCGCGTACAGAAAATTTGCCAATTTTGATTGTCTCTAGTCATTGTAGTGCTTTATATGTATCTATATAAAATTAATATACAATTAAAAAAAATAATTAGTGCCATTTTATAGTTTATATTCTATCAAAATAACAAATAAAACACAAGCCAAATAAGATACATTGGTTGAAATTCCAACCAATAGCAGATGACTTCATAGCAAAAAACCTTTACAGTTTAAACATTTATATTGGATGAAAATTATATCCAAAACAAATAGTGGCTATAGAAAAACAATTAGGATGTTTTGAAGGTTTATCTAAGCTCCATGCGGTAAATTGAAGACGGCATATACAAGTAAGTTGTTTTAACTAAAAACAAGTTTTTATTTCCCAAAGTGCATTGATATTACCAGCAATACTACACATTGGCAATTAAAATTTACGTTTAATAGATTTATTCAGGTGAAAATTAATATTAAAGAGTTATGCGCTCCAGGAGCATCTTGCTTCCTAACGTTCGAAAGCTGCATAAAGGTTTGTACAACAGGAAACGAATTCACACTACAAGAAAACTATTAATTCATCGATTTCCTCCTCACTCCCCATTGGTTATCTATTTCATCCTCAGTCCCAATTGGTTATCGATTTCCTCCTCACCCCCGATTGGTTATCGATTTCTGCTTTACTTCCGATTGGTTAATTGATTTCCCTTCGATTTGACCCTTACTCCTAGTTAAGGAATTATAACTTCTAGCCCGCAGCAATATAGAAACCTCTATTTGAATGTCCATTTTAAACAAACCAAGCAGCAAGTACTCGTATATGCCTCTACACAACAACTCTAACACAAGAAAAACTTGAATTAAAATAATAATTACTCATACATTAAAGAGCTTGTTAATAACATCTTCTCTAATTTTCTAACAAATTACATGTATGTACAGAGAAGTAAACTACGACCCTTTAATATGATGCAGTTTATAAATTCCTTATTCGTATTACATGTATGAACACGGTAAGGTACTCGTGTTGTGAAGATCAAATGACAAATTAATCTGACAGAGTTCCAGATACCTTACACCTGTAATATAGATGTAAAGTATATAATAATTTACTATGATGTTTATTTCATTTCACGTACAGTGTATGACATGATCATGATTTACTGGTACTTGTACTTTCTTTTGAAAATAAAAAAAAAATTCAAATTCAAATACAGTACATGTTTACAGAAAGGAGTTTTCTATGTTATTGTGTTTTGAAATGTTGGCATATTTTTAATATGATTACAGTGCTATGTGTCTAGATTTATATATGAAAGATATAATGAATACTGAACGTAAATTATGCAGAATACTGCTTTCAATAAAAAAATCGAAGGCGGTTGAACATACGCACTATATTTTTACTCGTAAAGTTGATTTGGCGGTAGGGAAGAAGCATTTCCGGTTGAACACCGTGAGAAAAGCCGGCTTCTATGAGTAATGAGCCCGGCTAAAAATATCAGAGAGCTTGAGGCATGTTAGGGTCAAGTCATACAGAAGCATATGAAGCATATATTTGTTGATTTACCTAAGACAATATTAAAATAAAAGACAATAGTGTTTATAGCTATTAAAACTGCAAGGTTGAATGAAAACTGCTCAGTATGTTGGTTACGTAGTAGGAGGTATTTGAACTAGTTGGAAAAGTTTGAAAGGTAGAGTGGGGACGACATTTTCCTTGCATTAAACATGTATAGAGTTGAATGAAAGCAATGTATCAGTGTATGAAACAGGGAATGATTTTTTTTTATAAAGGAAAGGGAATATGCAGATGTGAATTGATGATATGTCCTTCACAAGCCCAGAAAGTAAAGTAGCCCCTGCGGGTACATGTTTAAAAGAAAAGTCTAGGTTTGTGTTTTAATTTAAATTAGAGAAACATAGTCAATGTTGATAACTATTATGTTAAACAAAAGATTGCATTTGTAATAGATAATTTCAATAATTCAGTTTAATATCATTTTTTTCAGTTCTATATGATTTATAGTACTCTGTTTCAAAATAGTTATTGCACATGCATATATATGGATAAAAAATAAACTTATCTTTTTGGTTTAATAAAAAATAATCTCGTTTTATTCTTTTGTTCAAGAAACAGTCTAAGTTTAAAATATATCAGTACTAAGATAATATGAAATAAAACTTAATACCAGACTGTTATATATGTTTGTATCGGAAAGTCAAAGGAAATTTTTTAGACTGCAAAAACAAATGAATACTTTATGGCAATGTTTTAATTATAGCAAATTTAAAGATTTTATCGAAAGAACAGAGCGATGGACCAACTTTTTTATTCAACCATATCCTGTACGTAATGGAAGCCACGGCCTCAGACGATCAATTCAGTTGTAATATTTCAACATCTTTGTCCAGCGAATCTTTAATCGGTTGAAGATTAAATAAAAAAAAAATTAGAAAAAAAAGAAAAATGAAAAAAAAAAAGAAAAAAAAAAGAAAAACGAAAAAAGAAAAACGAAAAAGGTACAGAAAAGAATTTGTCGTGAGTAAAGGGCTAAATCTTTCGCCAAAGGGACGCAATTCAATTCATCTAGATCTGCGGCTTTTCTGTGATCAACATTTTACTGCAGTTGGTAACGTGATATTAATTTTTATTGACTTTGTACTCCTTTCTGCAATCTGCAATTTCAGCGAATATCGGAATATATAATTATTCTTTTACATGTATGAAAGACCGCTAAATTATATCTTAAAGAACATTTTAACTTTAATAAGCAATCAACAAAAACGTACCTCCACGACGAATTATAATGATTCCAAAATTACATTTCTTTATCCAATTTTCCAAAATTTCATTTTGAAAACAGAATGTTCATTAATGTGCAATAAACAATGAACCATTTTCCTGATCTGAAGGGTCAAAATCCTTTGAAACACAAACATACTCTAATTTAAAACTAATTGCTATCAAAGGGTACATATCAAATTTTGGGAAAAAATTTGTTTGCCAATATTAGAAGAAAAACAAAACAGACTGATTTTGATTTTTTTTTTACGATTTTAGGACATTAATTTGAGGAAATAACAAAAAAGTGTGATGTTGTTTGTAATATTTGGAGAATTAAACAACATAGATTGGTGTTATTTTTTTGTTTGTTAGATTTGGGGAATTATCCAGCAACAATGATCAATTTTGTTTGCTAGATTTGTGGAATCTACACCACTGATCGGTGTTGGGGCCGGGTGAGAGACCAACACAAACTGACGTTGTCTGTGAGATTTGAGGAAATAACAACGCAGACTGATATTGTTGCTGAGATTTGAGGAAATAACAACACATACAACAAAGACTGAGTCTGAGAGATTTTAGGAAATAACAATGCAGGCTGATGTTGTTGGTGAGATTTGAGGAAATAACAACACAGACTTATGTTGTTGGTGAGAAAATAACAACAAAGACTTATGTTGTTGGTGAGAAAATAACAACACAGAGTGATGTTGTTCATTTCATTTTGGAGAAATACGTCTGGTGCTTGTTTTATAAGGGTAAATAGACTTACTCTTTTTGTTAAATTTGGTGAAACAACAAAAGACTGACCATTACTGTTCTGTGGTTGGTGTAATGAATTAATTTTCATTTTGTGAAACATCAACACAAACAGATGTTATTTCAGAGGAGGAAATAAATACACACTAAAATGTTGTCAATGAGAGAAACACAACAGATAGATACGATCAGTGTTCGCTGTATCATTGAATAGTAATTTTTATTTTATGAGATATTATTAACTAAACATAATTTATTGATGGGCTAACTGCATTGATTTTTGTTGTACCTGTATGGGGATCCAAATTTATAGAAAATCAAATATTAATCTTGTTATCGTGTTTGCAAATCTTCCATGTGAAAATCATGTAGTTAATATCAAATTTAGATCTAAACTTCTGAATTCATTTGTCAATTACAAATTGTGCGTTTGTCAAATATATGAATCACAACTTTTTTCCTTTTAAATTAAGATCAAACTGCTTACTTTAAATCAAGATTTTTAGAACCACGGTCTTAAGTGTAGACTTCTATATGCAGCGCCTGAGTTAAAAATGGCTTCAATTCCTCTTTGTTATTTCATTAATGCCAACCACAAACACTTCTTTTCCGTGATAATTGTCCATAAGCAAACTACATGTCTATGGTGCGACAACGCGAGGCCGCTAGCGCCGTAAAGCGTCGTCTAATTGACACGTAACAGTTATTGGACATTTACTACGACTCGCTATGCCGACCTGCCCAGACTGCGGAGCTCTTCGTAAAAAGTAATTAATATGGATTGAAAGCCCGGATTCAGTGCCGGAGTTTGAAAACTTATCTCTCCAAGCAAGGCTGCTGGGATTGCCTAGAGTGAAGCAAAGTAATTCCACTGACCGGAGAATCGGACTTGTTTGCCATCCAAGATAAAGTCCAGCAATCAATAGCATGTTTTGCTTTATTACTTGTGAGGAGAGACGTTAAAATCCTTCTTCTATTGAATTACAATCATATATTGCTGTTCCGAAATTCAAACTTATCGATCAACAGCCACAAGTGATGCAGTTTATTTACATAAATATACGAGTGTAATTGAAATAAAAAGCCCCGAAAATATGTCACAGATGTTACTTCGGGATTGCAGTGAAAGACATTCACGGATGTGAAAGGAAATAAAAATACATGGAAATTTAGTCAATGGGTTAAAATATTTATTTCCAGAAATCTGAAAAGAATAAACATTTGGATATACGCATGGCCACTCCATAAGATCTCGCTGGAAACTCGACTGACAAGTTTCTTCAGTCAGAAAATAAACAGAAGAGATAGATCAACAAGTTCTTTGAAGCGCGCATGCGCTGCTGATGCGAGTAATTGCTGGGAATGTTAAGATGGCGGTGACTTACTTATATTTCGATATTCAACATGTGTTAAATTTGTAGTGTTCAGTGGAATATTACTTCTAAAAGTGTATTAATGATTGGAAATTATCAAACAAGTGTTGAGTGAGATAGTTATGTCGTTTATTCCCCGTCTGTCCTTGTTTTATTGGAATGCAATCGGTTTTCACCAAGTCGCAAGAGGATTTTTTATTCAATCTATCGGTGGAGGCTATTCTGGCCAACAAAACAGCGGCCATTTAAGAAAGGTAATGCCAAATAGTGAAGAAAGTGTGTTATTTAAAAAGGCAAAAACAAATTCTTTTGGATAAATGTAGTCAGGTACAGAAAAAAATATCTTTCATGCTTTTCCTAAATTTTCTGAAAGTGTGCTCTTTTTCTGAACTATGATATTAAGCTATGAAGATGGGAATACGTCATATGTTAAGCCGAACATTCACAAACCGACCATCTGGACAAGGTGCACATACACACAGTGTGTTATCCTTGTAACAACCGTCATGGTGTTTACAAAAGCGTGTCTTGGCTCGGGTTTTCCTGAGCTCTCCGTTTGCGGACCAGTGTATCATTCGAATGTACCTTCTAAAATCAAGAATCAGTGCCTTTTTCTTGATAAACAATTAATACAAGATATTTGTGTCGATAAAAGGACGCTCAGGCCTCCCGAGATACACTTAAAATTTTGCAATATGTACACTCTCAACCATATAATACCTCAAAATGAATCCGAGAGATGGATGGGCAAAATTGAATGTAACCAAACTCTGGTAGACCTGATGAGAAGCGATAACAGTGCTTTTGAGGAGTTTCAACTGTTTGCCAGTTTGTTGGAGAGAGTCGACTGTGATACTGCATACTCCGTTAGGTGGAGCTGCAGCGTCTGTAGGGTGAGTCTCAGCCAATTTTTTTTCTTCTTGAAAACATCCTGGTTAGATATCTACAACTGTAACTGGATCCGCCAATTCATTTATTTACATAAATCGGGGTTTACTTGCCTCGAGAAAATCCAGCTGACCATCAAATCAGTAGCATAACATCTGGCAATGTAGCCAAATTATTCTAAATAGCACTTTATCTCCTCGAGGGCTCGTCTCAGGAGTCAAATAATCTGATAGCTGTGAGCACTGACTGACATTAACAGGGGTTTAATAACTGCATGTTATACCGCTATAATATGATCGACCTATTTCACTGCTGAGTATATGTACAGTGTATCATAATGTTGGAATTCGTGGAACACGTGCGCTCTCTCAGTTAAAAGTGAGTATAAAATGATAATAGCCCAAGCCTTCCCGATCATGTGTTTATCATTCCCTGTCTACATGGAAGCCCGCATGCCCTTATCAGATTTATCATGATACTTCAAGGTTTTTTCCCTAAAAAAATGAAAGAAAGGCTGATGTTAGCTTATAATAATTATTATATCTACCTATAATGCTTTCAACCCCCCTTCTCTATATGCAGTGTAGAGTTAAAAATTAATGAGCTTGATAAAAAAAATTAACAGAGTACCTCTGGGTTTTTTTTCCTGAGAGACCTTTTAGTTCTTCAACCTATAAGTATTTTATAATACTAGTAGCATTTGAAAATAAAATAAAAACTGGTACATGTATGTGCATCAAATACAGCCTATATTTCGCTTGATTTGAAGTTCAAACGAAATCCGTACAGAAAAGTTGATACATGCACGTCATGTATGTGCATCAAATACAACATTTCCATGTAGTTAGCCTGATTTGCAGCTCAAACAAAATCCGTACAGAAAAGGTGATACATGCACGTAATGATGCACCACATCCCTTCAAAAACATGGCTAAAACATTTATTGGATATTCCCTGCAGTTTCATTATTATTTTGACAAGCTTCGTTAGAGGATTATTTAGGCCTTAAACACATTTAAAATTGCTTCTTATAACAGCTGTCAAACGATCTGTAAATTTATTAACTTGATTCAGTAAGTTTACAATCTACCTTCAATAGTAGAGGGATTATAGAGGTAATTTTGATTTTCCGAAATGTTTTTGTAATTTGAGTACGTTTGGACTTAGATATTTCAACACGCGGAGGTTCCTTTTATATGCTTCCCTTTGGTCTCGACTACATAACAAATTAACTGAAGACTTATTCCTCGGTAATTAGAGAATTAGTAGTTCCCCGCTGTATAATTATTGGCTGATTAAATAGACCAATAAATGCCATTCTATCATGTCCTTGACAGAAAGCCGTCGAGGAGTGCTGCCATGTGCCATATTTGGGTGATAATTTGTTATTGCCTCTGAAACTAAGGCCATTTTCTTCCTTTCCTTGACAAACTGAAAGGTTTTTAATCAAATGACTGGGGACAAAAGTCATTGTGTACTTTACAGAAACACTTTGTTTATGAAGAGTAGAGGTAAATATTTCTGCATATTAGGATGTCGGGGGGGAGGGGGGGGGGCAATTTCAGAACTTTATGGATTCATTATGCATTGGAAAAATAGCATTTTATTAAGATGTCCTCATAAAGAAAAAAAAATGAATTTAAGAATTTAACAAATGCACTAGATCTACACAGGAAGCAGTTAAGATAGTGTTTTTTACGTAAAATATGATTAAATGACCATATAAGTACGCTAAGATTCCCATACACGTAGAAGTAATTAAAAATGTTATTTAAATTCCGTTCTTCGTGTCTTTTTTTTCTATTTACTAAATCCCTGTGTCTGTAGTATATAGGATAACGATTACTATATAGTATTATCTGTTTTGATGTTTTCTGTAATTGATAATGGTGGCTCTTTAACTACTATAATGAATCCGATACACTAAGTTTATTGATATAGCTAATGATTGTTGGCATATAATGCGATAAGTGTTTGATACACTACGTCTGTAATCGGGAGAAAACGTTATTGTTTTTGTACTATCTAAATTTAGCTTTTGGCCTACAATAATTATTCATTTTCTGAAACGCCTGTACTGAATTTGTGATAGTTCAAAAATTTGGGGTGGGGAATTAGCCAAAATGCTAATTAATTTTCGATTCCTCTATCTTATTTAATTTAATATTATATAACTTTTATAAGATTTTGTATTATTAGAAATGAAACAAAATTTCTATGTAATGCAGCATGGTTCATAAAGTAAGCGTTAAATACGTTCCTTTTAGAATGTTTCAAACTAACAGGTTACTGCAGTAAACTATATGGTTAATAATAGTAATTTTAAGTACTCGTATACATGTAGCGTGTAATTTAACAAGTTTCGAATTTGTTGTATAAAAGATTGAAGTATTCTTTAAAATTGTTCAAATTATTTTAAGGATCTTCACGATTATGATCATTTCTCTTCCTTGTCATTGATTTGAATGATTTAAGTAGAGCCACATGGCTTTTACTGCACCTTTGATAATGTTAAGTTTTGTTTGAATTCAGTAAAAATCACAGAGTTAATTACCTTACTCAGAATGCATTTAATCGTATAGAAATAGAACCCTGCTGGACGTTTAGAAAGTAAACGTTTGACAATAAATCACACTTAAGCTTTGCGACCAATTCATTATCTGAGAGGTTAAAATGTATTTATTCCGGGAATTTTATGATAAAGTGACCATTCCTTGTTGTGGTACTGCCGGCGGTTAATGGAAGTCAGTCCCGAGGAAAATTAAACACCAATGAGAGGGGGTATCGATTTTAAATTAAAACCAAGAACTGGGACAGAGTCTTTCCCGGGAGGATAACGGCCCAGAGTCTTCAACATATTGTCAGTTGTAGATTTTCATTAATGCTGTATTCCGTCTGAAAACAATATGCGCCACACAACCTTCCATTAATCACAGCTGTATATTCTTTGCTATAATAAAATGTTACTTTATCATGATGAAATCGTGTGTGCTAACTAGTTTTTATTGGGAAATAAACAAATAAACTTCATGACGCGCTTTTTCTCTATGATGACTCTTAGGTGAGGCAATCCTATAGTTTTTGAAGCAATAGTCTTCTTCGTTTTTTAAGCGCTTCATTAACATTGTATAATGTAATAAAGGCATTGCTAAAATCGATTGTGTTTCCCGTCAATAGTGTAATCCGGTGATTCGGAGTTAAACAATGGAATTGTGGTAAGGGATTCTTCATTGAGGAGTTCATATATAAATCCCCTTTTTTTAAATAACACTCCTCTGTTGTCTTCTTTGAAGTCACGAACCATTGATTAAGATACGATTTAAAAAGATGATTTCTACTTCCTGTTTAACATGCAAATTAAATATTAAATATAGACGAATATTTTTTCTCTTTCTTTCTCTGAGAGAGAGAGAGAGAGAGAGAGAGAGAGAGAGAGAGAGAGATTCTGAATGTTGATGAATATTTCCAATGTATCACTTCACTACAAGTATACTGTGCCGTCCAGTGTATGAATACAATTACATTTATTCAGTTTTTTTTCTTTTATTTGATGATTTATAATGGGCAAAATTAACTATTTCATATACTACATGTAATTTTTAGTAATAAATTGAAATTGAATGATTGAAGAATTATAGGATCATGTAGTCGAGCTTTTTCTTGAAATTGATCTTCAAGTGAAAATACATATTTTTAAAAGTGAATTTAGAATTTTAAAAAATTGGATCAATTTTGAATCCCCCCCCCCCTTTTTTGGCTTTAAATTATATTTGTTTGTCCATATGCCTGCTTGTCCATATGTCTGAGTCACATGTAGTGATGGCTAGTGAAAGTTAAACAATTTAATTGAAACATTCATAAAAGTTTGAAAAATTTATATCAACAGAGACCTTGAACAGATAAAAAATTTAATTGCCATCATTTTGTTTAATATAAAACTGAATGTGTTCGGTGGGAAGTTGCTAATATAAATGAGATTCTACGTCACATCCGTGTTCATTTACCGAAGAGTCATTCCTCCATATTGAATTTATTTCCAAGTGCTGTAAATTCATTATGATTTACTCTGTCTTCAGGCGTGTAATTCATCTTTGTTTAGCATTCTCTTTTTTGCTGAAACGGAAATATTTGCATACAGGTATAACAATTTAATTAAAAATCCGTGACTCACACAGCGATAAATGCAAAAAACAGAAAAGCCTTTGAAACTAAAAACTACTCACTGAATGGAGCAGTTATACATGTACATACAAGTTTATATATATTATTACCTCCAGACTTCCATTGATCGTTCGACTGCGGACTTGGGACGATACCTCGTAAACGTGGCATAGCTCTAGTTACGGAGTATTGATCCGGCGGACCCACACCCGCCTCTGGGATTCAGAGTCCGACAGGACGATAGAGGCCCATCTGTCTCTCTGTGTTGACTCTCTTTAGTGATAAAGCATGATTTGGAAATATTATCATTATAGAGTCTCCTTTGGGTTTAGGGCCTTCCTATTTGAAGGAAAATTGTTTGTTTTCCATCACAAAGTCTTGTATCGGCCGTCGTTATGGCTTTTATGGGGCCAGAGATTGTCATTTTCATAAAGTAATCTGTTCTGAAAACAAATTCTTATCCAGAAATGGAGAATCAGGATATGGCTTATTGACACTGTAAAGTGTCTAGAGTTTTGTATGTGAATGAAAACCGTGTGAAAATATTTCATTTGCTTTCATCAGATCATTGTTAGTAAAGGTAACCTTTGTACCGTAGACTCTATTTGAACACCATGACCAAAAGAAAGGACTGCTTTAAGGTCAAGATCTAGTAAATGATTTTAGACTGCCTTTTTGATGCTTGATTCATTATGACGTCATAATCAAATTTATACTTTCCTTTTCCCGTACTTTATGGCTGTAATAGAATTATGTAGAAAATATAGTATTTTCCTGGAATTCAATTTGAAATATGTGAAAAGTAATCCCGAAACCTATATTCAATTTAATATTATTTTACAGA